TGGTAGTGATTTTAAATGGTCTATTGCCGTTGCTGCTGTAGATATAACTTAAATGTTTACCATAGAAGAGATTTACACATCTAAATCTAAACAGGTTACACCATATGAACTACTTCTTATGTAGAGATTAGCTAATGGTTTGCTAAATGCTTACACCCAGTAACTGCCAGGTGTTACTTAACTGACATACTGATGACTCTATGTAAGTTTGTTTATACTACCAGTGCGTTTGATTTTTGATTTTTTTTTACATTGCCCAACTAAATACAGCCCTACAAGTCCTTGTACTTATGCAGCGCATCACTTTAGCTGAGAAAGTCCAGCTGGAGTGTTTTGACAGCCGTGTGTGTGTGCGACTAGACATCCTGTCGAGGAGACAGTAGTATGAGAGACAGCTGTGGAGAAGGTTAGCTAGTTACCACTGCTCCATCCCACCCTGCCGACTTTCTACCTTCTCCAGACACTGACTGGTGGGTCGGACTGGGCTAAGCTGACAGGTGGAAATGGAATGTCAGACCTCTACAACCTGGCCGTGGGGATAGAATATCTAATATAGATGAGCTTTGTGAATTTGGACACCTCCACCCTTTCTTTGACGGACAGACGCACACAAGCAAACACACACTAAACTAAAGCACATACGCCTCTGAAAACACCTCAAACACCACTCTTTTCTTAACAGTTGCTGCCTCACACACTGGTATCTCCATGCAAAGACACACACACACACGCACACACACATAGAGTAGATACATGCTATTACTAAAACTTTACTAGAACAAACAGGCCCTATTCTCACACAGGATGACATGTATGTGCACACAACTATGGAAGAGGTGAAATGGTGCAATGGGAAGCGAGATGGTGAATGTAAAGGCAGAGATTCAGGTGATGATGTGAATGCACTGAGCTACAGCCAGCATGCTAAGCAGCTTTCAACATGAAAGGAGAGAGAGAGAGAGAGAGAGAGAGAGAGAGAGAGAGAAATCGAGTGTTAGAGAGACAGACCGAGAGAGAAGCGATACCTGTACCTGACCAGAAGGGAGCAGAGGAAGGAGGTACAAAGTTGTAGCCGGCAGGAGATACAAAAGAGAGGCCGCAGAGCAATGGGGCTATAGCAGGGCAGGCCAGGCAGGGAGCAGAGAGATGCAAGAGGGGAGAGGGCAGGGATGGGGGTAGGATGGTGGAAGGAGAGAGAAGCAAAGAAGAAAAAATAAAACATGTTTTTAAAAACTCAGAGGTTTTTTCTTTCAGAGGTATAAAGAATACAGTTGCAGATTGATAAAAAATAAATGAGGGCAGGTACGGGAGGACAGTGGTACTTCAGCTACACAGCCACTGTTAACTAACACTGTTAACTAACTGTTAAAGGCTCTTACTTACAAACATTTGTCTCAATTTCATAAAACTTATATATACATATACATTTTGTTTTCTCGTGTTAAACTGAATTTAATTCAGATTGAAGTGTGAGGGTCAGACAGACCTTGAGTGTCCAAATAAATACACACCAGCTCCAAGATTTTGTTGAAATATGAAGTGATGACTTGTCTTGTTTGCAATTTTCCAATAGGATGTCTGCATCATTAATGGAGGACGACATCTTCACTTGTTCATTTAATTGGGAAGAACATGCAGTGTACTCACAATTACAGCATAGGGAATAGATTCCTATTTGCATATTTATAAAGACAATCATCCAACTGTAACACAGCCACAACTGCAGAGACACATCTCCTTCACAAATTTCCGACGTGCTTATAAGACAACAATATGCTTTATTTAATATTCTATTATAATAGTACTTTCGTATGGTAACCTAATTGTCCACAGTGCAGATTTCTCTACTTAAGAGAGACTATTTGGAACAACTTGAGAAATAACCCACCGGAGGCCCACTGCATTTGTATTTCTATCTGTATTTCTACTGGCAGAGAAAGAAGCTACAGGCTTGATCTGATTCCAGCAGCATGTCTTAGAGCTGGCAGTGCTAGTGCATTTCTTTGGAGAGTAGAACCTCTAACCCTGAAAGTATTAGTGTTTTGGTCTTTATGGATTCATTTTTATTTAAGTACAGTCAGGAGAAAATTCTGATGCCACAAAGCTGTGCTACTCAAACAACTATACAATATATATTCAATTTTAAATCCAAAGTAGTTAAATTGATGCCAATTACTGATTTTGTCTAGGAAAGTGTAACCTGGATAAACAAAACAGCCCATTCCTAATGTAGGAATTATTGGCACTATGGAAAACTCTCATTCAAAATACATTATATAGACGGATGCAAGAAATTACTCTAGCTACACAGCCACAAAGTCTGCTTCTGTATCATTACATACATAGCAGCGGAGGGGCCACAGTCAGAATGTGATTGGTAGTTTAGTTATTAGTAAAAATGGATGGAGCCTACTGGTCACAGAGCCAGAGCCTCTGTATTAGGTGACTGTTGACATTTCTTGTTGCAAAGTGAATCAAACAACTACAAAAAGATCCAAAATGATCACAAAGAAACGTAAACGACTACAAAGAGATCCAAAATAAACACAAAGAAAGGCAAATATTAAGGAATATCATTTTATATTAGAATATTTAAAGTTGTTTATTTGGTATTTATTCATTAACCATGTAATTATTAATAATATACAGTTTATAATTGGCAAGAACCTGGGCTTTAAATACAATAATTTTTTACTCGTTTGTAAAATGAATACAAATTGTGCCCCAGTCCAACCCCATTCAAAAGTTTCTAAACCCGCCCCTGCACAGGAGCTCACATTTCTGCCACTGGGAATAGACAATCTAATCCCCACAATGGCAGATAAATGCCGAAAACTTTATGAAAAATGTGCCGCTCCCAACAATACTGCTGGCAAGTTAACTGGCCTGGGTTATTGATATGCTGTAAGGAGAGCAGAGCTCCAGTGGTTTTTAAAATGAATACTAATCAGCGCACTGAGAGACAGCTCAGCAACCCCTAATGGTGTCTAGGTATGAGCAATATGAAGAGGGATCGCCCTCCACTTCAAACAGCCACCAAAACACCAGCTGCATTTTACATGCTTCATTTTTGCAAAATCTGATTTGTGGACCACACTGGAAGGCACAATGTGAGCTGGTTGACTAATATAGGAGACTAACATCGAGAGTACACACATACACATGCATTGTATCATTTCACGAGAGAGTGAAGATGAGTTAAAATCCAATCTGCAGCCCAGAGTCCCTCACATGCTGTCAGCTGAGTTGTTTCACGGACTCATATTCATTTATATTTTGAGATAACGCTGGTATTGTTGCTACTGTAGTACCTCGTATTGGTATCAATCAGTTTTGCCTTCTGCAAAGCTGTCCAAAAAAAAACAAAAACCAAAGCACAAACATTAATTAGCAGTCTTCCAGCAGTGCTTGAGTCATTTAAAAGTGAATTCGGCACACCAGGAGGAGGCTGCCTACAAGACCGAAGACCACACCGCAACGAAATAAATTTGGATTGAAGCTGTCTCAACTTGTGATGTGAAGCAATGTTTGAACAACAGGCCTTGTCTAGAACAACCGAAGAGCTGGGAACAATCTGTTCACATCTCTCCCACTTGGAACATGATCGTCAGCAAGCCAGGCCTTTTTTTTTTCCAGCGATTGCACGCAGTTGTATACCTGGCTCAAACGAAATCTCATTTTCCCACTGAAGACATACATTTTCCATTAACCAACTGATGGGCAATGACGCTTTGCCTAGCTCACACACTGTTTAATACCTTTTCTTCTGGTATTGCAGGAAATGTTTAGCTTGTGTGGGGTAAACATGGATGTTTCACAGGGGGAGCAGCCCTTCAGTGTGGAAGTTGCAGAAAGTTAACTGTAAGTCTTTAAACCTCTCTTGATGTTTTTTCAAACATATTCCCACCTGACATTATCAACCAAGCCAATATAACAAAGCATACAAGAACCTCTTGAACTGCTAGCCTTTCTACTCTTTAGAAATCCTTCTCATGACTAAATTACACTAGAAAAACAATAGTTTATGTCTCAGAAAGGTCTATATTCACTCCAGAGAGGACAGTTTGACAATGACCCGCTATTTTATCTGTTCTGTGCTTCACTTCAAACCCAAACATCATCTAATTAAAATCTCAGTTCAAAGTTACACACCCCACACCTGTTATATTCCAAGTAAGAAGGGAAAAACATCTCACTGGAACACCTGAATGTTGAGAGGAATCAGGTTGGTTAGGGTAATGACTGACAAAGTTGCACAGTTAGGAAGGAACGGCAGCTGCATGCATAAATAATCATCAATGTGCTACATTCCAGTAGAGTTTTGCTCCTTCGAAAGTGTTGGTGACAACAGCTGCTTTGTCTTGAGGTGCTGACAGGTTTGTTCACAACAGAACAAACAGCTCATTCTTACACAGGTAAAAAAATATCACACAGCTCAAATCTTCACCTGCCAGACAGCGCACCGCAACATCCACAAGAGCAAAGTTTGACAATTGCGGCACCGCTCACTTTCTCACAAATTACACCGACACTCGTGTAGCATATTTACTCATGATTGAGGGTTCCATAATACTGAATTTTTAAATCACTCTGTTTATTGCTTAGTTAAGGCTATGACATGTCTTAAGTGATCATCAAACATCAAATAAAAATTGCGAAAAAGTAACTAATGATGGATATTTTTTACATTTTTTGTAACATCTACTCAGCAGATTAACTACAAGAACTACAAGATTATAAAAGCTCTTAACTTTGACTCGTTGAAGGTTCTACCAGATTACGTCTCTCCCCTGAAACCCAAAAAGATTTGATCTTCAGTAAACGTCGAGAGAGTGTTATCAAATCTAATAACATGCTTAACTGACCCTTCAACCACTGTTTGACAGTACAGTCAAAAACAATTAACATCAGAGGAGGCTGGACTGTTTTTTTAACAACAAATAGATACCTAACACTTTTAAAGCTGTGAAGAGGCTTCCGAGTGATTCAAAGCAGTGCGTGAGAGAGTGGGGAAGGATGATAGATAAGATAACAGAAGAGGCGGCTGCAGTAGAGGTGGGAGAACTCAGCAGAGCCTGAAACAGCTGCATGTTGCAGGAAACAAATAGCTATTAACAATGAAAGTAGCATGAATGATCAGCAGTGTCAGATCACACAGACTTTTATACTAAGAGTCCGCTGATGCTCGTAACTGACAGCATGTATGACTGTCAGATTTCTATGGTTTATAATGGCATGACTAGAGCTGAAACAACTAGTAAGTGCCCTCTGAATGTGAGTGTGGTCAAAAACTCCACTGGGTTCCTTTAATGACCGCAAATCTAAATGAGAAAACTAGCCTTTATATAAGATGTGTCACAAGATTTTTTCATGAACTTCTGCCCTGTCTCACTGTGATATTTCCTTCATGCTAAAGCTCAAGTGCTATGTATCACCAGCTCAAAATATACAAATACAGAATGGGAAGCATTTAATTATTAAATACTAATTAACCTCTCAATATCGGCACTGCAGTTGTAGTACTTTAATTTAAGTCAATATAGTATTTTTAAAGTTATTATTTGTTTGGCCTTTATTGATAGAACAGCCAAAGACTGACAGGAAAGGGGGGCAGAGAGAAGGGATGACACGCAGCAAAGGGCCACAGGTCTGATTCAAACCCGGGCCGCTGCAG